TCAAGTTCACTAAAAATGTAAACGTCGGATTCAAGCTCAACTGAAACTATAATGGATAAGAATTGCGTGAAATTAAACTGCTAATTTTTGTGTACTGTAGATGTAATACGTCAAGTTAGGAAAAAAATGTCTCAAATGTGACTTAAACTTTCTCAAACGAAAGACACATGTACGTGGCAGTTTTTTACTATATGAACGAAATTGTTCGTTGCTGCTAATCACTTTGAAGAAGTCTGCAAGGTGGAATTTAGCCTGTTCCAAGCTCCGAGTTGGGTCCGCGAGCCACACCGTTTTCCCAAATCATGCTCTCATATTTTTCGCGTGCCATTCACTATGACGCCTCATCCCTGCTATCTGAGAGCCTGAAAAAGGCTATGTGGAATTTTAAATTTTTCTGGACTTTAATTTGGCTCTCCGAAGGCGTCAAAAATGTAAAAGTATTACGTAATAATATCCAGAACTATCTTCTACAACAATGGGTTCTATTGTGAATCCCCTATTCTGACTGGCTTACCTGTTAGTTATCTATTAGCACACAGAGGGGAGAATAGGAAAGTAAAAAAAAATCAGAAGAAAATTTCTTAGAACTAATTTTGCTGTTAACTTTTTTTAGGTAAACAGCAGATTCTCTCTCGGCTCTATTTGTATCGACCCTGATAGTTTACTTCTAGCTTCGATTCTCGTCACCTATATAGTGACCAATAGAAATTAATCTCGAGTTCGCCTTCTCTTTGAGCAAGATTACATCGTCAAACGACTTGGATTGGTGGAATATTTTGCAATTGATCTACCTTTGCTAAACATTCCTTCCACAATCTAAAAACGCTTACTCACTGGAATCAAACAAGCTAAATTTAGCCCCAAGATGAAAGAGACTGACATGTACATTTGAATGGACACAACCCTTTTGTCGCTAAATTTGGACCTCGCGATTAACTGATTAGTTAAAAATAGGTTACCCTGCCCTTGTATCTAATCTTATCTCAAGTGCCTCTGGCCCCTCCCGCAGTGATAACGTAATTTACATGATGGACTACAGAAAAATCAAGATCAGAGCTCCTTAAATAAATGACAGAACTAGCTAAATGACTAACTCTACCCCAGCTGAATTCTACCTGCTCTTATTGAGGACACAGCGCATGCAAGAATAAATCTGGCAGTTCTAAAATTAGTACATATCTTATGATGGAAATTAATTGTAAAGTTTTTAAGATCTACTGATGTGTATGTTGCTGACCTCGTCCAAGGAAGGTATGTGCGGGTCTGACCATTTAACCATTTGCGGTCTGTGGCAGGGTTTTGCGCTTTGTGGGGAGGGGAGGGGGGTGGAGTACTCCACAAAGTCTTATACGGGGAGGCTCCTCCCGGAGGTCCAGTCCTTACCCTTTTACCTACCATTTTTACAGTGAAGGTACCCCTTTCGTATACCTTCTATTGACAAATGGCACCCCTTTCACATACCTAGTTAGAACACTGCATCCCCTTTTAACTGCTTTAAATGTTAGGCCTTTTAATATGAATAAATAACTAAACTAGAAAGTTTTCTTTCTCTTTCACATCCATAACATGCGTCTGTTAGCCCTTTTTGGTCCTTTTACGCACCAAAATGACAGATTTCCCAACTTTTTTTTTTCCCAACCCTTTCACATACTTTGATTTATGAAATCCCTTCAATTTCATATATCTGAAGCCTGAAAAAGGTACCCCTTTCGGACGGAGCCTCCCTGTATGGGCCATTATAGGGAGAATCCCCGGGGGTTTCTGGAACCATTGCCGTCTCTTTAGAACAGGGGCTCAAGGCTGAAATAGCGAAGGGAAAATTACATATTTTTGTGTAAAACAGGATACCATCGACACAGTTTCAAAAGTTACAGCAACCTTTCAATACTCCCTCTGTGAAAGCTTTGAACCCAGAAGAAAATTTCATAAGGAGGTTGAGTATTCGACAACCTGTGCGATAGTCATCTTCAGAGTCTTGACTGTGAAGATTATTGCCGCACAGGTTGTCGAAACGGCAGTCACTGTCAACAACAACAGTCCTCAGGACTACTTTCATACTCAACCTACTTATGAATACTCCCTCTTTCACTCAAGCTAGACAAGATAAGAATGCAATCAGTAGTCTTTTTTGAAGAACAGAATACAACAATATTTCTCCTCATAGTATAACGGCTTTGTCAAACTTGAGGTCATACGAACAAAGCAATTGACAAAGGTAAATGGTCAAGCAATCCAAATTAGCCTTGTTCAGTACCATAATCAAGATAATATCTCACGTCCCCATATGGGGACGTAACAGTAGGCAGAATTTTTCAGTTTTGTATAAGGGCTTCTATAGGTATGGTAGCAGTGATTTATCACGCAATATTTCTCAGAGACAAAGGTGTGCATCAAAGCAAAGTTTTTGCCTTCGGTAGAATCAAGCGCGGTCTCAGTCAGCCATTTTCAAGCTACTAAACAGTTCAGCCGAAATCACAGTTTGCCCAGGCTGAGCGCCGATTGGCAGTGACCAATGAAGACATAGTTGTTGATGACTGAACGGAGTGCTTAAAAAGCTGACTTTCGATTCTCAAATAACGTGCAAAAAGACACTTTCGATTCTCAAATAACATGCAAAAAGACACTTTCGTCTCTCAGTGGCTACTGTACTATGGAGGCCTTTCACTCACATGGCCAGCAGCCGTACAAATTTTTTGGAAAAAAAGAACGCTTCAAAGTTCAACTCCCATAGGATCGGTCTGGGACACCAACATGGTCGCCGTTTCATTGTTTTGAGACACCAACACGGCGGTAGTGACGTCATTTGAAAACCCTCTATTAGGCTTTGTCAAATGATTCGTTTTCCAGTTTAATTGTAAAGTATTCATGTATCAGCTAAAGCCTGGTGTAAGAGTATCAGCTTTACAAAGTTTGGTAGGAATAACTTTGAAGATGTTCGGTTAATTTGTGTCTTATTCAAATCTAATCTCAATCTAAATCGAGACGTTAGGGCAATGTCCACTTTAATTGATTTATTCAAAAAAAATTTAGCCCGTGATTATTAAAGTTGAAATCTATACTGTCTTCTAAGTTAATCTTTTCGGATGGGTAAATTGTCAATAAAATCATTCAGTGATTGACTTAATAACTGTCAACGAAAACTAGACAGTCATAATAATAATAATGATGATTATGATTATGATGTTTGTGACAATAATCTTTCTCTACTTATATATGTAGCACTTTGTTATTCATTTCCTCGATCTGTATAATTCTTCACATCATACTTAGCCTCATTTAATAATTGTTTAATATCCAATAAAAGACCCTATAGTGGATGATGGCTAATAATCTACTACTGCGAGCACGTTAGTTGGCCTTTTAAGTAATAAAAAATTAAAGACTGGTGGAATTTCGTTAGCAGACAGGGTCAGGTCAAAGAAATAAGTATTTTGACGATTAAATGATCGGGATACTCTTTTTTTTTTACAGGGTTTTGAGACACTATCTTCAGCGACCTCTCCGTAAACAATAAATACCGATAGACAAGTGTCTTGTTTATAAGGGGTCTCTGAAGCATACGAAACTGTCCTGTAAATACCTAAAAAAATATTCAACAAAATTTGCCTTACTTTGCCGCTTCTGACGATACGATTCTTTGATTGCTTTGAGTATACGAAGTTTATCGCAAAACATCTTATTGTTTAATTCACACTCATTTACAAACAATATGTGGAATTACACAATCGTTTTTGCACCTTAGCCGTTTCTTAAAATACTTAGCCGATGCCGAAAGTTGTTTTGAAACCTAACTCCGCTGTTTGTAACCCAGGCAAGGGACTGCATTTTTACCGAAACAAAAACAGACGTTATTTGTTAATCAAAGGTTTGCAACTTGGGAAACGTAGTTCAGACAAGAAGATGATGGCTGATCATTATTAACATGTATTCGATCTTACATTCTGTTCATCTCAAATTAGAGCTAGTCACTTGATAAAACGCTAAAGGCCTCAGTGTTTACATGGAGGTGGGGGACCCCAGGTAGGTGAGGTAAAATATGGCGGGTCACCCCACCTATCGTGTAAACGTGATCAAATTAAAATGAGAGATTATATGGACAGACAGGTTACCCCACCTAAGCGGGTTACCTCACTTACCTGGGGTCCGCCACCTCCATGTAAACAGGCCCTAAGAAAACCACCAACACAAGAATTCAAAGAATGTATCGAGTATTGACCATGTAAAAAATATCCTGTGTTGGATTTTTTGTTCTTTTTTCCTTCGAAAACAAAAGCGGTAAAAAAAAAAAAAAAACCCTCACCACAACCACCATCATCGTCATCATCAATTCAAATCAAATATACGGATGTTGTCACAACCTGTGTCAATATAGTTTGCTCAACTTTTTTTTGCTCGTCTTTTGCACCATTCACATTCTTTTTCACATTTTTGTACTTAGGAACAAAATAACTGGGAAAAAACCGTGAAAAGGCATACCATTTATCTTGGAGAAAAAGATTCCACATTAAAAGGAATTGTTCTTGACAAGACTTTGGAGCCGCACGGTGAAAACTGAATGAATTATGAAGGTAATACGAAAAACGTTTATCATAGGGCAAGAAATTGCTCCCAAAAGATGGTATTATTCCAAACATTTTCGCGTCGGCGACGATATCTTGAAAAGGACTCGCTACACTGTTGAACACGGAATAGTATACCTTACTTGAAAACTTATGATTCTTTTAAAAGAAAATTTGTGGCAGTGACATGATAGGCATTAATTTTTTAATGAAATCGGCCCTTGCAAAGGAGACTTAAAAACATTGTGGAGAAAAGCAAAACAAACAAAGACAAAACAAAACAAAACAAACAAACAAGCAAACGGGGAAAATTTTTTGGGAATTAAAATTTGAACAAGAAAACATCACATTTGATTTCCATTTATTTTATTTTTTCGTCTTTCCTTTATTTATAGCTGTATTTTCCGAGCATTAATTTACAAGATAATTTGATTTCTTTAGAGATTTTAAAGTCAACTCCCTGGTCATGCATCTAAGCGATCAAAATGTGATTTCTCCTCATAATTGTAATAAAAAAGCCTTCTAGTGTATTCCATATTTCATCACTTGTTAATAATTTCATGAATTCCCAAAGCTCAATGGTTGCAGTCTATTTACATTATATTTTCTCTGAAGCAATTCTAGTTACAGTAAGTGGTACGCATATAGGTACATGTGCTATGGAGCTTACTATATTACTTTGGTTCCAACTTTAAAGTCTACGTTACAAACAATAAGTGAGCAAGACTATTAATTGCGATGATATATGTTAACCAATACCTAATGGAATAAAAATTTATCTAACAAAATAATAAATGTATATGCTGATATGAAGAACGGGTTTACGCACATGAACGAAATCTGATTACACAAACAAGGTATAACCTTTACATTTTCCCTTAAACCTTGAAGGAGCTGTGTCACAAAATTTATCAAAAACTACCACTAAATCGAGTGAAACAGAAAAAATATCGCTCAAAACGTTAGTATAGGTAATAGCATGATTTGTAGTGATATTTGGCATAAACACCACGAGTGATATAACAATTTTTAAATATCACAAGTGGTATTTATGTCAAAAATCACGTACAAATCATGCTATTATTTGCTTATACTACTACCCGCAAAGGTTTTGTAATTTCACATGTGGGTATTTGAAATTAAGCTGAAATACCACTGCTCTAAGCCGATCAAATTGCAGAAATTTCTCATGTAGTAGTATAAGAGAAGAAATAAATAACACAGCAAATACAGAACAGAGGCAAGGATGGACAAACTTGAAGAAGATTAAAAAACGGATTGCAATTGTGGTTTTTGAAAACTTGTTAGCCTAACAGTTTTTACTGATCACCTGTACTTGGGAGATATTTCACAGAAACTGTAATTTTGTCATTCTCAAGTTCCATAGCAAATAGGAATGCGAAATCATGGTAACTAATTTTTAACAAATGAACGAGACTGCCGTGACAAAGCCCCTTTAAATGCAAAGGAGAATAAATGGCTTTTGTTAAAAAATAAAATCCGATACTGAATTTAATACACCCACGGGCGGCAATTTAGGAAGCAGAAGGTTTAATTTAATAAAATAAATTAACCCCTGCTTCGACTCCCAGATCGAATCCAGCCTTTGTAAACAACATTTTCCCATAACAGAAGCCATTTGTTGTCTATCAATAGAAAGGTCGATGGAAAAAAAGGCTAGTTGAATAGATACAAAAGTTACAAATACAAAGTCAGCAAAAACTAAGAAAAAAAAATCATATCACCGTTTTCCTAAATTTCCAAGACAGGAATGTACCTTCATTATCTCCTGCAATACGAAATAAACTATAACAGAATGAAGCATGCATGCTATTTACTTGACATAGACGTTTAAATTAATTGTTTACACGGTACGACATTGTCTGATCAGGAATTCTCAAAAGTGGATAAAACTTATGATTACTTTGGATTTGCATGGGGTTTAAACGTTTTTTTCGGCCCACGAGAACGGGTACTTATTAACATATTAATTCGTGCCGGAAGGTGTGGTCAAAATAATGTCATTAAAAGAACTTAGTAGTTTTCGATATCTAGCTTAATATTTCTCGAATGGGAATCCTTTTAAAATTTTACGCCTTGTGTCTTTAGGAAGCGGGAAATGAGATAACAGAAATATTAAATGAGCCTTAGTGAAAATTACAACTAAGGATACTTGATTCAAACTAAAGCCGGAAGGTGTCCGCGTCAAATGGTCGAGCTTACCAGAAATTCTATGACCATTCTCTTCAAAGACAAAAGTAAAAGAATACCAAACACTTACATGAATCAACAACTAATAAAAGCCACGCTAGCCCACGAAGTTGAATATCAAAACAAAGTTTCCAGAACAATGTAAACTACCTAATACTTGGGTGTCTATCACATAAACAAAACAAAGCTAAATAAACTGAAAACTTGGAGCCCTGAAATGTAGCTATCAACGATATGTACTGTGTGGTTCTATTAACTCCTCACTGTTGTTTGTTTGGAGTTGTTATATTCAACATGTTCGTGCAACTAGCGAGACTAACAACGCTACATTTTCTTGGTCAAAAATATGTAGACAAAACTGGAAGAAATTGAATCCTGAACCCACATAACCATTTTTTTGAAACCGTAAAAGGTTTTAAGTCCTAATGCGTAATAATAACAGGTTATGTGTCTTGGTCGCGCATCTATTAGCGGATTCCGTGATTAATAAGTCTAGAAAGCTTATCCTTAAATGTGTTTGTGAGAAAGTGATATGCTAGCTTTGGCTACTATCGCAGACAACAATTTGGAATTTCGCTCGCTTATAATATATGGATTACCGTTATAGTCCTGTATTTGCACATAAGCTTTTTAAATTAATTGGTATTATGAGTGCAAAGCCCAGATATTAGCATTTCCTTACATTTCCCTAATAACGTTCAAAGCCACACGAAACGACTTTTTATCTCGGTGCCATGGGATGCATGTGCGCATGTTCCAAAGGCATGTACGACCCCCCGTTCGGACTTGAGCAGTAATACGGAGGGGGAGGGGGAGGTGGCATGAATGAAGGATTGGCACTTGTCATTGTCATACTGTTGTTAATGACGGCCGCGTGAGATGGATAAGTAGGCATGGGCCGAACGGAATCGTGGGCCGGGCTCCAAATGTTTCCGCTGCAGCTTGCGTATCTGCATGGCGATGGTACGGCCTGCGAAGACTCTTTGCTTGACGTTGGAGTTTTGGGTTTGGGTTTGGGTTTAGGCTCTCCCTTGCTCTGTTGCCTAACTTTGGCGCGTCTGTTTTTAAACCACACCTGTTGTAGAATAAAACAAACAAATATATGTCCGTTTGAATCTCAAATTGGCGCCTTCAAACAAGTGGAATTTACATTGTTGTCTCCTGTGGTGTTTACATAGTATCTGCTGACCTTTAAGATTCATTGAGTAGTAATAGCGATAAGAAGGAAAAAAACAATAATGAAATCTCGATTAGAAGCTTTACGTATAAACACAAGTCCCTAATTTAGGAAGCCACGCAACAACACAAATCTAGAAACTTACAAGCAATACATGTGTGGCTTTTTCACCTTTTTTTGAAAGTTTCTGGCTATTTTAGGCGAGCGTGACTTTTGGAATAGGATTTTAAGTAGTTTTCTCTGGAAAGTTTCAGTTTCCTTTAAATACACAATACCAGCGAGACAAGCAGGGGTGTATGAGCACGCAAAAGTGAGGTCAAGCGAATTGCCCAGACACCACGAAAAGAATGGCATCACACGCGATCCCCAAACTCATCCATGAAAAACACATAGAGGGTTTTTCCTACGACTACCTCGAATATATGTGACGATATTTTTGAACACAAGTTGTTGTAATAACATGGAAAGCCTCGAGTAAAAATGTTTAACCTTAAAGTCATTACGTGAGAAAAGATGAATAGTCTTGTGGGCGTAAAATCCCTGACAGTACATTCGTGTGTACGTACACTATCCAGATCACCGCCTAAATGCTCGGAAGTCAAACGATTTTAATTCAATTTGCGTTGCACCTGATTCCACGTTTAGACAAACTGAGATAGAATTCTTCTATCTAAAGTTCACCTAAAAATTTAAAAAAAATGCAAATAACAACTATCTTATTTTTACTTACAAAATGAGTTTACTACCGGCTTAAGGTTATTTTACACGCAATATGCCGCCATTTGATTCCGCGCAAAACAAAGTATATATTGTTTTTATTTGGGGATGCTGGGCTCCACCTTTACACAAAACTTGTAAAAAAAACACTTGTGAAATTCTTCATTCTCATTATTTCTCTCCATTTTTCTTGCTCTAATAGAGTAACGATCGATGTTTGGTTGAAATCTCAAGACCCATTGATTCATTCTTAAACGGTTGTCTACATTTCTGTATTACGTCTCAGATAAAAATCAACTCTTCTTTTTTCAAGCAATTTTTGCAGATATAGTTTGCTACTTCACGTCTTTCTGAAACAGTGAGTGACCAGCCAACAGTTCTACAAATTGCCAATTACCTTGAAATTGTTCACGTACGAACATTAGAAAACAGTCGTATGCAGCTCGCTGAAAAACGTTTTCATCTTAAGTCTTCGAAAGGCTGGGCCAAGAGATCTCATCAATAAACTTACAAATTTGAGCGAGAAGGGTGGGAAAAAAAAAAGACTAAAAAGGACAGCTAAGCCAAATCCCAAAGTGTCATCATTTAAGTGAATGTTTCCTTGGCACTCAGTGTTCATTCATTATTGTGTTGTTTTCGCCGTGCGCTTAAGTTCATTTATGGAATCCTTATAAGTGTGCACACAAATAAAAGCCACCTACCAGCAAGTTCTTAACCCTTTAACTTCAAAGAAGGACAGAATATTGAAAAGCCACGATATTGACAAACAGCAAATACCATTTAAAAGGTACTGTTGAAGAGGTTCATTTGAATGGTCACTTCGTAAGTTTTTGTGCCAAAACTTAGGTTAGAACCAAGAACTACCATATGAAAGTACTGCTAATTAGGGGTTCCTTTAATGACAACAAAATAGGATTTTGTACAGACTCAAACGTTAGCTTTAAATCAATAAAACATAGTTAAATTTGGGAGTGATTGTAACGGAGAAACTATGCCATTATGATGAATGTGCATCGAAGCTCGCATAGAGAACGACATCCAGGAACACGAAGGGTTATACACCCCTTTTTTTAACGAATTTATGACACAATTTAATATCTGATTTTGTTATAATATCATTCTTTTAGTTCTCTCCAAAACGACCCAACTTTTCATAGAAATGTTCCACTGTTAGTGCTGGTCAGCGAATTAGATAGGAATTGTCAGCCTTCTTTTAAAACCACTAAATGCTGGACGTGAGAGAATGTAGTATCCTGATGTAACAGGAAAAACCTAGTGAGTGTTAAATCGAATATCACAAATAGTTGGAAACCTAAAACAAAATATTCAGAAATATTTAAAGGGGTTAGCTCTTCCGAGCAATGATAAAGTAGCCTCTAACTAATGTTTCCCAAACAACGGGCCATTCATGTTAACAAGGTACAGAGTTCATTGCCAGTTTGCTCTACTTCCCGGAAAATTCTTTAGAGTTTTAGAGTTTTTAATAACCTATTTAGAATTTTATCTCTTTTCATGTAAAACCTCCTACGATTTTAACTTTTGAGACTGTTAATTCGAGTTAAAGCTATCCAAGGTCAAAAGCGGAGTCCCGGCTTTCTAGAAGTACACACAGAGGACATGATGAGGATAAAGAAGCTGTACACAAGTGAAAATCACCTTTGTAAGATCTCTACCTTTGGAGATTAATTATCACTACTTCTTGTCTGAGACATAATAATAAAAAAAAAACAAGAAGAAGAAAAAAAAAGGAAAGAAAAAATTCTAAAACTTTGTACAAAAATCTTCTTTTGGAGACGTGCTGTAGAATTTTCGCATGATTGTTCAGACATAACGTGTTTAGAGGTATGCAGCATTCCCCTCCAGAGCAGTCAGGATTCAAACCTGCGCAACAGAACCATCTCCAAAAGAAAACCCTAATTTCTTCGCGATCTTTTTAGCTAACAATGACATGAAAAGGGAACAAGCCTTGCAACGTGCGGGAAGCTCATCTTCAGCTTTTCCAATGTGCGTTTGTATTTATTTATTTTTCCCGACACGACTAGATTACCCGACATGATACGATATACTTTCTTTACCCTCGTTAACATCGAAATTGGGGATAAAGCTTTGGGAGCCGCCGGTGCAAAAACAAGTGGAACATGCAACAGACAAAAGAACGTTTTGCAAGAGTTTGTTGAGAAAAGCTCTCGGGCATTGCTTTTCTAAGATACTGCATGTTTATGACGTTGCGCAAGATGTTGCTAAATTTGGATCTAATTTAGATAAGTTCCTCAGTGCTTCCTAAACATTTCTTTGCTCTTTCAGCTGAGAATTAAGTCAGAAAAGGCGCCACTTTAACTTACCTGAACTCGAGATTCGGGTAGGCTGATTTTCATTGCTACTTCTTCTCTCATGAAAATGTCTGGGTACTTTGTCTTGGAGAAGAGTTCTTCTAAGATTTCTAGTTGTGCCTTGGTAAAAGTGGTTCGCTCCCTTCTCTGTTTCCTAGGATAACCTAAACATAGAATCAATGATGTATTTTCGTTTATTTGCAATTTAACTTTCGCAACACACCCTCAGTTTTGAGCTAAGCAATGACATGTTCTAAGAGGAACGTTCTTTAGTCAAATTAGAAGCACAAATATTTGAATAAACTGTTCTTTTTATAGCATGGGCAAAGTCCTGATTTGTTCATTGACATGGACACTATAGAACTAAAGAAAACATTTTAAATTTTCCACTAAAAAAGCTGAATAGATCCATGTACGTCTAGTTCAGGAGCACAGTACGTGCAATGTATTATCCATCGAATGTAAACCCATTAACGTAGACTCATAACGGAGTCATAAAATGCATATGTAGCTTTAGAGTCTAAGGGCAAAATCCAACGGTGTTACTATTTAAAAGAAAAATCTTCAGCAGAACTTTTAGATTTTACAATTTATTTCTTAGTACTTTTAAAAGTAAAATTTTGTTTTTTTGTTGGATTTTGGACATTGTTCTCGAGAAGGAGTGAAAGCGCTTAACACAAAATTAACTCAACGATCTTATCATCGCCGTTTAAGCCACGTTATCTCCATGCGGTCTTGTACAACAGCTTTTATGGCCGCAAATGCGTTTAAATGTTTTCTACGGGAAGTATGTTTCTCTGTGCTTTAAACGAGATTCGTAGTAAAAATCTTCCCTTCGAAAATCGGCCTAACTTAAGAGTTTTGGCGCCCGCAAATCCTTCACGGACAATAGTCAAACTTCCATCATGTTTGCTTGCCATTTTGAAAAATACTGCAGATTGTGGAATCATTTTTCTTGATCCTCACTCTGTTCGTTAAATGCGAAGCAGAGAAGAAGTGAACGGCATTATAACGATAATTTGACCGTAAGGGCTTTGCTTACACAACACCACCGAGCTTCAAAGGGAGCTTCGTAAATAGGCTTTATAGAATATCACACTCTAATAAATACCTTTACAAATTCTAAGGCGGAAAATCTGGGAGGTCTCTTTCACACAAGGAAAACTTGACAATTCAAAGTTCAAGCAAACTGAAATAAGCACTTAGCAAGCATTTAACGCAACTCGACAGAGGATAAAAAACTTCCTCCTTCTCAAAGAAATATTTTTTCCTGCTAACCGCGAGAGCGGTTAATTGTCATTACCTAAGTGTGTAGAAAGTTGGCAAATTCGCCGTCTTTAGAGTCTAAAAATAAAATCTTAAGTCTTACCATAAGGTGGAGCAACCATCGGGGAAAACATGTCGGCGCTTCTTGGAGGCATGTTAAGCCCATTGACTGGGTAAGGTGGATAATGGTTCAGAAAGCCCGCCATCTTGGATTCTTGATGAATGGTTGAGCGCGAGTTGTGTGCCGCGTGCTGGAGGAGTAAATGAAAACACTAATGAGCTGATCAGGTCGCGGTTATTCTCGCGACCCTCTTTGCCAGTCGCCCCTTTAAGGCCCCCCTGCAGATCCGAGCTGTCAAGTTATCAATACAAAAGACGGGGACAGAAAATCCGCTTGATAAAGGACTCCTTCTGAAATTCCACATAAGAAAAACAAGCGTGTGATGCTGCTACACCCAGTCGGATTACTCGGAACTAAGACATGAAAGCTATGCAGGATTAGGGTAGCCAAACGTTAGCAAGTCTATGCAATGGCGCTCGACACAAGTGCATACATGCTTTACTATTTACCGTAGATCACATCGTATAGAGTCTTTATTGCTATTTTATCTAATTTACAACAATGTGGGAGGTCAAATTGTCTGCATTGGTAGTCCAAAAGGATACCGCTTAGCAACAGATGAAATGTTCATGCTGGATTAAACACGTCACGATGTTTATGTAGATGATGTCACGGACTGAAGAATCATGGACGTTTTAACGCAGGAATATTTTTTTCTTGTAAATTCTCGTACCTTACGGAAGCACTACAATTAAAGCTAGCGATAACATTTCCTCTCCGTAAGTAAAAAAAATCCATTAAAAGTATTCATATGATCTTGTGAAGGAATCAGCACGTCGTACTACTACTAAAATTGAAGTATGTGCGAGTTCTGTGTTAAAAGAGCGGATGTATTTTGGCCAGAATTTCTAAGGGACAAAAAAGGAGATCTTTTCTGGGGGGTTCCATTGAATAATTGTAGGAGAAAACGAACGATAATAAAGGAAAGAGAGCATGAAAGTGTACGTGCATAAATTGTGGCTGGTTATAATTAGTAGTAAACGCCAAGGACGTCATTTTTTTTTTCTAGAAAGGAAGTACGAAATAACAAAAAACAAAACACATCAAACCGCAATAACCTTTAGGAAACAATAGGACAATTAACTGCTACAAACCATCTCAAGCCGTTTTTTTATTATTTTTATATTGTTTATTATGAGTATTTTTATCATCATGATGTTGATGATGTTGTTGTTATCATTTTTTGACGATAACAAAATTTGTCGATAACTTTCAACTTTTTTATCAATTAAAGAATTATTAATAAAGGCTTTCAAGTCTTTCTAACGTGATTAAACACCTCCTTAGTTCCAAATTATGTCAACGGAGTAAGCGGAAAAGAAACGGTTAACACGTTAAATAAGTTTTGAGGTCACGAACTGATTTGAAGGTTAGGTTATGAACGAACATGTACTGATTAAAGTTAACTTATTTATTTACGAGTGAGTTTTATAAAAAAATTGCTGAAGGTCTGTTGACTGTTTTTTTCATAATTGAGAACGGCAAAGGCCATTTTAGCGACCTGAAATAAACCATAATCATCAGCAAAAATGCCTATAACATGTAAGTCAACTTTGCTTGTCACGTTCTCTACACTACATCAACAAAGATACTAACACACTTTATAGAATAACAAGAAATATTTTTCCGAAGTTGGACTGTCGGTGAGAAAACGATTTGGATGTGTGTACTTTCAACGGGAGATCTCTAAGTTGAAATTCAACGTAATACCTGAAATAATGAATATTTTTTTTATATAAAAGGGAGTAGAGCTCTTTTGGGCGCTATAAATAAAATGCCGATTCTCCTTCAGACTAAATTTTTACTTCGCTGTGTGAGATACTGTTTATTATGTTGTACAAGATGGTTCTAATTTTGAGTCTGGATGAAATCCTTTGGTGTGAGCTATTAAGCAGTACTTTTATGTAGTACTGTTTGTTAATAATGCTGTACAAGGTGGTTCTAACTTTTGAGTCTGTGGATGAAATCCTATGGTGTGACCATTCAAATGAAAGCTACTGAGCAGTACTTCCCTGTGGTACTGTTTATTGCCCAGTAGAAGGTGGTTTTAGCTTTTAAGGTTGTGGATGAATTCTCGTGTGACCATTCAAATGAAAGCTACTGAGCAATTGTTTGTTATACTTTACAAGGTGGATTTACTTTGTCTGTGGTCGAACGCCTGATGTGACACTACATACAAACATAACCTTTATTTTAACTCGAATTTTAGAGTAGCTACAATATATAGCTAATATCTTCGAGAAACAAATTACGATCTATGAAAACTGAAAAAAAAAATACACCCACAAAATAAGACAAAAATTAGTGATAACTAATCACGGAACTAAAGAAATTTATGATACGAAATTAGGTAAAATTTAAATTTCTGGATGGTAAGCCTCGTAGTGGCTGTGCTTGAACTTTACCAACCCCACTTCTTTGCTCCGAAAGGCGTGTTCAAGAGTACATAGTCAAACGGATTATATGTAACATTCTCCCAACGCGCGTTGAAAGACAGTAACAGTAGGGAGCACTTGGCTCTAAAAATCAAGATTAAGGAAGCTAAACCAAGCAAAGCATTTAACCTTAATTCAAATCAAATCGTTTTTAGAGAACATATACGCATTTGGTCGGTTTTTGTAATTTGCAAGAGAGAACCGAAAACCAAGGGACACGAAAAGATTTGAACATTTCTAATTGTAAGCTTTAAAGCCTATGACCTTATGCCGCAATTATTTAGCAAAAACCTAGGATCAAACTTTTCATTACTTGTTGAACTTGTTATCCAACTAGGGTGAAATAATTAAATTTAAAAATCTACAGGCTAATTTAGGCCATAAAAAACCTTTCTCACAAGTTAGACACTGAGTGTATAGTAAATAAATTTTAACTAGAATTATTTTAAATTGCACAATTTCAAGACATCCTGCATTTAACTTTTTCGATACTTGGTGCCCATGTGTAAACAAAGAAAAAAAGAAGAAATAGAAAATAAAGAACTGAGTGAATTTTGACTAGAATTATTTTATATTGCGCAAACTCAAGTGGTCGACTTAAAGACACCCTGATGTAAGTTTTTCGATACTTCATGCCCATGTGCTTACAAAGAAAAAAGGAGCAAAATTAAGGACTGTAAAATTTTATACCTTGACAATAGTACTTGCATCAATGAACAAATCGTGTATTAGGTGAAATTAAAGAAAAAGAAAAGTAATGAAAAAAGAATCAGTTGTAACACGTGTGACGACAGAACTAGTTTACAAGATTAATTAATCCACAAAACTCGTTTGCCAAGAAGAAACGGCGAAGTTACATCGGATATTAACCTACACGCTGATCCGAGAAAGTAATAGAACAGACCAAAAGCGCTAAATCAGAATATCTTTCGTAGCAATATCGCTAATTTAGGAAGGAAAACCGCAGATCCGACAACACTGAAAGACTGCAATTGATCACCTTGTACGTCGATGATTGAGCCCTAAATAATGACGCCCTCGGAGAGTTTAACCAAAAAAAAAAAAACAGAAAAACACACGGTATGATGACTTACTAAATCGACAGCTTGAAACTGGGAATCTTTGCTGAAGAATGAGCCAAGAACACACTGTGTAAAGTAAGGGCTTGGAACGGAAAAGCAACCATTTTGGTTCTCGTACAACGAAAAAGACATTTCTTAAAGTAAAATTTCTTTTGTCCACACTCGTTCGCGAGCTAATAAGCATTGGCTTTCCTGATTTGAGACACGTATAGAGGCTCTTTATGGACGTTAAGTTGTACGAATAGCCTGCTTTAATTTAATTTTGTGAAGAAAAGGGCGGATGTTCCACGATTTCTGATCCTCTAATCCAGTGACACTGTTCAGTTTACTGAAGGCTTAAATCAAATTGTTTTACGGACGTATTGCACGAAGTGACACACAAGGAACAGAGCGGCCTTGCTTAAAGCTTAATTTTGAAAGACACACGCTCCATCAAAACAGTGGCCCGTGTACTTTTTGTTCGTGACTGCAGTTGTGTCAGTGCCACACGAACAATGAACAACACCCCGGCTAGCGGAATGGACAAGTCAACCTTCATTACGTTACTCACAGGGACGGTTTCGTTGCCATCCCGAATTCAAAAGATTTTCAATTACACCTAAAGGTGTACTAATTACCGATTTAACAGTAAGACTGTTAGATTTGATCGTGTTTATAAGCTCAGGGTATTGGAAAGTGGGAAAAATGCAACATGCCTCCCTTCGCAAATAAACGAAGTTTAATCTTAAAAGAATTGATGCCATTGGCAGAAGAAGAAAAAACTGTCGGATTATTCTGAGAGGAAAATTAACAAAACCAAACCCTAATTTTCAGCTCAATTTATTCTGCTTTAAAGGACTCTATATCAGTAAAACAATTTATAAAACTCGGCCGAGAAAAACACTTTTTAGGGTAAAAACTTAAAAAAAAAAAAACAAACAAACAAAAAACAATCAAAGCAGTTCCACCTGTGGTGTGACCATAATTTCATATACTTAAGAAAATTTCAAAAACAGCCGGGGTTTGCAAAAGTTCGAGAAGCTTTTCCCTTATCTTTCTTTCACAATTTGTTTTATTTTACAAGTGCACAGACAATTCAGTGAACTTACTATTACCAAAGAAGCTTAACTCTCCGGATTAAGGATTTAAGTCAAATTCTTACTTTTTTACTTCCCATCTTAAAGAACTTTCCATGAAACAAGAAAAGTAACACTCTTCTGCATTTGAATACACTTTTTTGACCAATTAGGAACCCAAATGAATCTTTAGTGCCGATCGGAGAAGCCTTTCAATAACACTGTTTATCCTACGAAATACCACTTTTCCATTCAATGCCCCTTTGTTAACTAATTAAATGAAAAGACCCACAGCTAAACGAATCTTTGGTGCCTATTATTTGGCAACTTTTATCGGCACGTTTTTCCATCGTTTTTAAACACTCCGCAGTTTGAGATTTTCCCGATATACTCCGAGAGAACTTAGTCTAACTTTAGTTCCTTCTGTCTTATTTTTTTATTTCAAAGTAAGGATGGCTAGAGTAAACACAGGGAATCAAAGCTTGAAAAGCGAGAATAAATGTTTTAATCAGAGTATGAAACACATTTTACGTCCCATTCACACAAAAAAGAAAGAGCGTTGTTGAAGAAATAACAGGCAAATAGATAATTTATTTTAAAAGAAATCTCGTGAATTTAGAAGCTTATCTTTAAAAGGGAAAAATCTTAACGGTAATTTTTGGCAGTATTTGGTCATTTAAAGCAAGAGAGTAGATCTCTTACAAGATGTTGAGGATTAGTGATCATATTAACGAATGCTGCGAAAACGTTAACTCTTTTATTTCTGACTTTTTATTAAAAGATGACACATTACAGAAAATAGAGAAATCTGATCGTAGCTTTTTTCTCATTTAATCTCAAGGCACTTACTGAAGTAATAAAAACCGTTTTGACATTGTAAGAAAAATTGCAAGAAAGAAATTGTGGTTTAGTTGTCTGACCGGTGCATCCGGGATTAACTGCACTGGTAGTTTCTCGACCAACGTTAAGTCACAAAACCTGAAACTCAGGGAAGTGAATTCAATCATAGCAAGATCTAGCAAAGCTTGCTTTAACAGCAAACGGCCAACGCAAAAAGAAAGTCGTTTCATATTTAATGGAGTTTGCTTCCTTTTTCGCTTCCGTTGAAGACCGCTTCGTGAGAGGGCTGCTTAGTTCAATTCCCGCTTGCAAATCAAACATTTATCCACAAAATCTCTCCCGCTGTGCCCGTCTGAAGCAAACGACTCAATCTTCTGTACAGTTATTTTCAAAGCTGACGAAAAAGATCTCTTGCAAAATTTCACACTCTTAGAAAACTTGTCAAATAACCAAGAACTGCCACATTACAAAGTGATTTGGAAAGTATGGGTCTTAAATAATACACGAAGCTTATGTTCGTGATTCTAAATAGTTTTGTATAAACAGTACTTATCCCTGTTTCCTCTTCGTCATAGAAAGGAAAGGTCAAAGCGATAAATCGGCTTTCAACTCCTTGGCGCTTTTGAAACAAGAAGAACTTCAAAGAGAGCAATGGTTACGTTTTCGGGTTTTTTTTCTATATTTATTTTGTACGCTGCTTTCTGTGACCCTTATGTAATAAACGCGCATTAACCCTGGCCTTCCACTTATACAGTGCTAGACCAAGTCATGGCAAGATAATTTGTCACATAAACTCAGTTAAAATCCTTGGACGAAGAAAGGTCTATGATGTTGCCATTTCAAATGAAATATCTCTGGCAGAATGTTTGCATCTAGCGTTAAATATTTCTTACAAAAAGACATGATTTTTTTTCGGTGAACGTTTTGTTTGGCGACTATCGGGAGTGAAAGGCTTGAGTTATCTTTAGCTTGCTTATCACAAACGTTAACGATGTCAAGGTAAACAGAAAGTAAACCATACGTCAACACGAGATGGAGCTCACAATCAAACAAAGTCCCCGTGAGAGACAGACAAGTTGAACACAAATATTGATCTAGCAAGATAGTGATTTTTCGCAGTTTCTTGATGGGTTTGCGCAACTTTAATTCGCGTGTAATAGTTCTATCGAGTATGATCTGGTGTAGGTCGAGACCCGCCTGTTTGTTAATCACTAAAGCATGTCTGCTTTAAAACCGCGAATCAGTTGGCCATCTGTGTGGGAAAATACTATAGGCCTTGGCTATTTGCGTACGAACAGGTCCGCTGCGGTTTAGGTGAGAAATACTTCAATCGGTAAATATAACTAGGCAATGTAAGGCGTCCGTAGTGACTACAGCTTGAAGAATGATTTCAAAACAAGCGCTTTTGTGGGATTTTGTGGATACTTATTATCGGTGTAATTGGTTTTTGAAAGCGTTTGGTGATCTTTGTTTCACTTCGGAGGATTATTTCCACTCTATCCTATTATTAAGGGGCCTTAGAAAAAGCCGAGTTGGCAACGCCACAGCTTAGTTATGAAGCGAAGGTCGCCTTATCGCGCTCTGTACACTACGAGTTTAGTCCGCACAATCCGAAGGAGGGTAAAAAAATTACTACTGACAGACAATGACTCATTGTTCTTGCTTTTCTCCGATGGCTTCTTGATGTGGGAAACACAGCATGTTGCTTCACTGACGATGGTGTATTCTAGACTCCCAAAATTGTCGTTAATTTCAAGTCACCAAGTCTGTGCGAGGAAGAGAGCAGTCACTCCCACGGTTTTTAAATGGACAGGTGAGATAATGTATGATTTAACTGAAAGACGCTCAGCGCGGATCAAAATCTCGAGACAGAGAAGTTATTATCGATCGTACAGAAGTCACTGCAAGTAAGTGATTTCGTTTCAAACTACAGAAGAGTTTCGTTTGTAAGAAAGCACTGAGTCATAGGCACAGAGTGCAACAATACTCGTAGCAGTTGATTGAATATACCTATATAGCGTCTGAAAATACCAGCTAAAACCATCCATTAAAGCTGTGACAATTCTCAAGTGATTTGTTTAGGGGAGTTGGCCAAAAATAACCTCTACAAGTAACTATCTACCAGCGTTTTCGTGTTCGTTGTTGACTTAAGTCTTTCGTTGGATTTGCCGGCTTATCTGTATCACAAGCTAATAAAGTAATAAGAAACCTTTGAAGATTTGTTGCCAACAACAAAAGTCCATAAGCAAGCTCTGTCCTTCAGGAATCGTAGAGCTCTAAGGACTGAACTTCCAAACACTCAACTGTGAGCAGGAAATATCGGATATTATCCCGGGAGAATTAGTGATGAGTTTTAACTACATTGTACTTCTACTTACCAAAATGCGATTCCACAAATCAGTACTAGTCTTTGGTGTGCCAATAGTTCTCTTGGGTGCTTCAGAAAAGCGTTCTTTATCAGCTTTCGTAGGACAAATGCGAAATCCTAGAATGAAACCAAACATGTAACAAGGCTACTCGAGTTAATACAAAATGTACTGGGGGCTCCCCGCTGGAAAAAAAAGTTAATATAACATTGATGTTAGTCATTCACAGCTAGAGACCCAAAGTAAAAAAAAACTCTGTAAAACCATCTACATACTTTTAACTCCGCGTAGCATAAAAAGACTCCACTGCCCTTCGCCTCTACACTAATAATTGTTCTTATCCTCGTATATTAAACTGAGAACGGCGAACCAAGAAAGAGTTTTGTTATTTTAATAAGGAGAGGCGGGGAATGTTTCCAGATGGTGCCGAAATTTTTGCGGCAATGCTCTAACCCCCTTCAAAAGGCTACAGTTATTAAATATTCGCGTTCAATAAATCTAAATTGTCGAGAGTGTTTATTTCAACAGCATTTTGTGAAGGATCTCATCAATTCTAATTTACACCACTTTGGCAGTGTAATAAAGTAGGAGTAGAATGTTTTGTCAATTACCCTATAGAGTTGTATTATTTGCATGCAAAAGGAACATTTAGGGTCTTTCAAGCACGTTTCAAGAGGAAGTGCAGTGATCTGAAGTGCAAAACAACAAACCGTCAAAGCGATACAATAGAGTTGGTTTGAATAAGCACAAGGAATATTGTGATTTCCTTGAAAGAAATTTCAACCCAGCTTGATCGCCTGCCCAAAACAAAGGCTCCCAATTTAACTTTTCAATCGCTCTTTTCAGGATTCCGACTTTCGGTGGAAGTGAAGTAATTAGTTGTAATTAACAAGATCGATTTCAGTGGTTGAAAACGAACATTGACTAAACCGTTTGTACTGCCACGGGTTATAAGTTTACTATCAATCGCAAATTTCAATATTTATATTTACCACTGCATTATGTATATAACATTGGCTTTTTATTTCGGGAATTTTTGAGTCATTTTTCAGTTGATAACAAAAGTGTTATTCACAGGTGAATAATTGTCGATATTTTACTTTTATAAACCATTTATCGCGTTGAACTTTTCAATGTACTCCACGTCGTTCGACGCCTTCTCTTTTGGAAATGTAAACATAATTTATTTGTTGTATTACGGAACCTCCTCTTCAAAATTGCACTGTTATGAATTTGGTTGCAATCAAAGCTGACAGCGCTATCAAATAAAAAGTGAAAATCGTAGGGATTAATTCTTACTGTCCCCGCGAATTGTAGTTCAGAGTGTTGCCCGGAAATTAAATCAAATCCGAATTTTATTAGTTCCTTTTGCATTTGCTCGTTTGTTTTTCAATATGGCAACCAAAGGCTAGTTAACGCTATTTTTTAATGTAAAAGGAACAATGATTTACTGAAAACAGAAGGCCAAGCTTAATTAACGAGCTATCGAGTACATAGCTAAAACAAAGTCGAAACAATTCATTTCGTTTACGAATCCAATAAATTTTGTTTTTATAAACAAGATCTCCATAAAAGTAAAAAAGAAAAAAAGAAATTTCGCACAGTCATACCTTCCTTTGCAACAGTGGCTCTTCTAGTGTGTTCTATTAGTAACGGTTGATTAGAGAAGAGTCGACATCAGACTTCCAAAAAGATCTTTTTCTCAAATCTCTTTCTTACAAGCCGGTAAAGGAAAGCGCCCATCACCGGAAAGGAAAAAACTCAGCGATTCGTATATAAGTTGCAATCAGACAAAGATCGACAATTGACCGAAATGGAAACTACTACCTATCAATTAACCTTCGCTAATTTTAACATTTGGCTGTCAACGCGGTAAATTTTCATAAACGGATCAACGTCTCAAATCCCTGCCTGTGTTAATTGCAGTGGCATTTGCTGGGGCTGAACACAGCACCACCGGTTCTCGAAGGCATAAGAATTAGTTAGCTCTTTATTAGTCGTTTTCCAAGAAATCTGCGCGCCGCAAAAGGACGCAGGTATAACGGGGCGCTTCGATGTCCCGATGATGACACCAAATTATTACAATATAACCTTTTATCGAGGCCTGCCTTTAGTTCTATTTTTAATGTAAGGCTTACCTATTTATCTACAAATCCTTCGCAATGTTCTGTTCTCCGTCAGCCTTAAGTACAAACACAGGAAATTTTAAATGGCGGGGCGTTGAATGAGGCCTCCACCTCCCACTTGGTTTTCAGTTATCCGCGCGCTGTCAACAATGTTAGTCCCCTGAATGTTTGCGTTCCTCTCGTGATACGTGATTTATATCCCATTCTATTCGTCTTGAGGTCAATACGACATTTACCACACCAGCACACTGTCAATAGACCTGTTTTAAGTGGGACACGCAAGGTATTTCCAGAAAGTTTCCCTTAGTCTCGAAAAGCACAAGTTGCAATTTAACAACAGTTCACCTGTCTTTTCTGCCATTATATTTTGGATTTTATTCCAGCCCAAAGGAGTTTAAAACACCTCTGTTTTTGTGTATAAAAACGTGACACAAACGTGCATTCAGCTAGGGAATATTTTCAGAGAGTTCCGGCTTAAGATTAGGCATTTTTGGGAGTAAAGTTACTGACTTGTTGGAGCATCTGTGTGCTCCCAAAATCTGACAAGCCCAAACTTAAAAGAGACACAAGACAGCTCAAATTACTGAAACAAGAATATCTAGATATCTCACGACAAAAAACAGCTTAACATCCTGCTTCAAAAAAACGTCGGCGACTCCAGTCTCCCGCCTTTGTCATACTAGGGATGCTACATTAAAAGGTCTATGTTTGATTCATGCACAATCAGGCCAACTGCTAAAAAAATGCGCGGGAGTGGCCCTTAACAAACTAATTCTTCTAAACATTTTCTTTTCCAAGACACGAGACACGCCCAAATGATGCGCCCAATGCAGACCCGTCTATTTCAGTGAAAAGAAAGGCAGAGTCTCGTGATATTCCAAGACTATCAGCTGGCAGCATGCTTTTCCTCCACCCTTAAGCATCTCAGCGGGGATTATTCCAACTTACAGACACTCTTAACCAGCTTTCTCCTTAATTCTGACACAATGAGAAACAGCATTGTGCGTTCCTGTCTTTTGACTTGATTTTCAGTAAAGCCTTTCAATAAACGACAAGATTACTTTGCTGGTTGAGGTATAGCTGTCAACGAACATACTGGAGACCGATCATTGTACATTCTGAACGTCCATGCTTCTCTGTTTACTTCGAAAGAATTTGTCAACCAGTTGGCGTGCGTATAAAAATTAGAACAATCTAACTAGTACGAGATTTGTTAAATAGAACGAAATCTGCTTCTAAATTTGGTGTCTGATAAAATTCTTGGCGGTTCAAATCTTTTTGAACTCATCTTCGCCTTCTACTTCCTCCACCTTCGAAGTCTTTCAACATAATTCCTTGCCACTTGTGTACAGTAAACTTTTAAAAAATGCAACCTTTTGAACATGGATCGTAAACAAGTTAAAACTCTTGGGTGCATTTAACGAAAGTTGAGATAAAAAAAAGGGTCAAAAACTCTGTTGTTGAAGTATTTTGCTAGTACTTGAGAGTAAGCTATGTTTTTGTTATCGATTAAGAGAAAGCTCTATTTTTTAAAATGGGCTTATGCCTTCTTTTCAAACATCTTCTGTCAAAATCAACATACACAACAAGCTCACTCAAATGTACTTGTTTCAAATGAAAAAAAAAAAAAAAAAAAAACCTATTCCAACACAAAACCAAAAAAAAAAATAAAAAAAAAAATTTTATCAAAAAAAACAAAAAAAAAAAAAAAATAAATAATTAAATGATTAAAAAAAAAAAAAAAATAAAAAATAAAATATTAACAAAAATTAAATATGTCTTCTTATATTTTTTTATTCTTTATACATAAACACTCTAAACCTAATATACAAAAAAACAATAAAAAACCAACCCACTTAAACAAACTACTATAAACTAAATAAAAGTACGTGGAACTTGAAAAAGTTGAAATAAAAAAAAGGGTCAAAAACTCTGTTGTTGAAGTATTTTTCTAGTACTTGAGAGTAAGCTATGTTTTTGTTATCGATTAAAAAAAAGCTCTATTTTTTAAAATGGGCTTATGCCTTCTTTTCAAACATCTTCTGTCAAAATCAACATAAAAAACAAGCTCACTCAAATGTACTTGTTTCAAATGAAAAAAAAAAAAAAAAAAAAGCTCCTATTCCAGCACAAAAGCAAAGAAATGAATATGTAACTGAGTTTGTTCCAATACAACAATAGCATAACAAAAATATTGAATTCTGAATCAAAGTGAATCCGGACAGTTTCAGTTATACCACTATGATTCTAGACTAATCAACATCTACGACAACCAAACGCAATATGCCCTTGACTTAGTCACAGAAAAGCCAGATTTTATGTGGGCCGAGAAATAGTATTATAACGTCGAGCAGCTTTCTGTTGCTATAACAGACACGTGGGTTTAACTAAGTTTAAATAACGAAAAATTCGAAGTAGACGCTCGCACTCATTTCAGATTTTCCCACAAGATAGATAGGATAGAGAATTACGCTGAAGCAGACACAAGTGACACGTTTTCCACCGTAAAAAACACGCACGTACAGGCCAGTGAAATCGCAATGCTCATTGGACAAGGTCAAAGAGAGAAAACGTGGCATTTGTAGAAGGGGAACGTCAAGTGATCTCTTTTCCAAGAGTGACCTGACTTGCTAGGCGACACGTGCAAGACAGGGAAGCTCGATGAGTATAGGTCTTATACAATGTCCTTATTTAACCAAAACTTTGGAAGAATGAGATCGGGTACCTTATCATGCACTCAATACGTGCAGTCTGAATTACACTTTAGGGTTAAGTTTACAAAAGAGTTGAAGAACAGACTGAGGAGTTGCCCGAAAATGCCCGTCATAATAATATAAAGAGGTCAGTTTTTGAGGCACCTGAAGAGAGAGGCGACGCGGTTGAAATCGTCAAGGTTCGTCCCTCAGATACTGAACGCCAACGTTTTACAACCGCACTCCGCGGTTAAAAGGGCTTTATTCTATCTCAACATGGCATATTGTGAGGCAATAATCCGCATGAACACCTTTAGTATGAATGCGATTTGTGTCTAAAAGTTGACACTCGCCAAAGAAAGACGGACATGTACAAGATCGGTGAAGAAAAACTCCATGTCAAAATTCAATCCTCTTTTCAATACACGACACGTGTTAGCAGCTACGGACGTGAGTTTCATCACATTGTTTCGATTGTGAAGTGGTTTATAAACCCCGATTAATGTTAAAAATGACATTATTCACTGCTTTTCATTTTCTCATTATTTACTCTCTCAGCTCTCTAGTAAATGTATGAAATAAAAAACTAGAAAATTAGTATTGAGCAGTACGTTTTAATCTGGTGAGTTAGGAAGAAACTCAGTACCACTTCTGTCGGTTACATAATGACCCTTTTAGTTGCTTGAATTACTTACAACATATTCCAGTGCAGCGATTTAACTAAGTGAATTTAATCGAGTAGCTAACAAATTTGCACAATCCCCCTCTTTTTAAGTGAAAGGCGCATCGGCCTTGGCCTTATCACTTCAATGCTCGAGGCCTGCGGGCAAATGAAATCTATCTTAAAATTGTTGCGCACATGCCATAAAAGTGAACATTGTACCCCTTCAAGTCTAAAGAAAACCGAACATAGTTAAAGAGTACCTGAATGTAGTGTATATGTCTGTATATAGCTTTCTTGTCTAGTTTCTGTGGCCACCGAGTAGAACAGAGACCTGTGATTCATCTGATAATTATGTATTTTGACTTGCACAGAATCAACTGCTCGTTTTGTAAATTTATGCAAAGAGTTTTTCTTAACACTTCCTTATCGGAAAGCCGTCAAATGTTTGTAATAAATTAACCCTCGAGGCTCTCCGAAAACCCTAGGCAATTTCTCTGGCCATACGTAAAGATTTAGAGATATTAGGCAAGAGGTTTGCAAACGATTTTACGTAGACAACGCCTTCAGTCTATGACAAAATACGACAGAAAAACCCATCATGGCAATAATCTTTTGTTTAAGGTCACTTTGTCATGAAAAAAGGGCGTCAGTCGACGGAAATAAAACTATAAGATCGGTTATGACTTTTACGTTTGTT